GAATTTTATTTCCATGATTCAGCTATGACATCAGTAATGCGTCTGAGTATCATTAAGCTTGACACCTTTCTACATTGTGACATCGACAAGAAAGTGATGTAGAGTATTTTTCTCTTTTGTCCCATGACATCATCTTCTAGAACTGAATGGTGTCTTCTGTAATAGAAGGAGAGGTCTCCAGAGGCACTGAACAACTGCAGGTGATAAACACATTGAAGTCTATCTGCAGTAAGAGCCAGTTAGCCTGGGTGCCAGTCTGTTTCTGGTCTCTTTAATATAGCCTGGGTGCCAGTCTGTTTCTGGTCTCTTTAATATAGCCTGGGTGCCTGTCTGTTTCTGGTCTCTTTAATATAGCCTGGGTGCCAGTCTGTTTCTGGTCTCTTTAATATAGCCTGGGTGCCAGTCTGTTTCTGGTCTCTTTAATATAGCCTGGGTGCCAGACTGTTTCTGGTCTCTTCAATACAGCCTGGGTGTCCATCTGTTTCTAATCTCTTTAATATAGCCTGGGTGCCAGTCTGTTTCTGATCTCTTTAATATAGCCTGGGTGCCAGTCTGTTTCTGGGACCAGGCTAGTGAGATCAGATCTGGGACCTGGCTTGGAGCCAGTGGGATGTTTCAGTGGGATGTTTCCTTATGGATGAGACGATCTCTCTCCTCCTGGCTGAAAAGGTCTCCCTCTCTCCTCCTGGATGAGAATGTTTCCACCTCTCTTCCTGGAGGAGACGGTCTGTCTCACAGAGGAATCTGTGGCTGAGGTCAGGAACATGCAGAGAAAACCTACAACCTGCTACGTCAGCCAGTACAGACTCAACGCGTCACGCTCAGGGAATGCAGCTGTCTGCTTGAACTGGTGCCAGTGTCTCTTTAAAACCCTAACAGTGCTCTAAGACACACACATATGCATGCACACACACACACACACACACACACACACACACACACACAGACACGCACACACACAGACACGTACACACACAGACACGTACACACACACACACACACACACACACACACACACACACACACACACACACACACACACACACACACACACACACACACACACTACCATCCTCATCACTACTCTCCCTCTCTCTCTCTCTATACATCCTCTGCGCTCCTCTCAGCCCTGAAGGGTAATAAATATGACCCCACACATGGAGATGAGACTCCCACTATGTGTGAGTGAATAGCATACTGTAGGAAACAGGAGAAGGCATCAAGAGAACACGGTCCCTTTCTTCCTTTCTGTTTCCTTTTCTCTAACTCTTGTTCTGTCTCTCTCTGTATTTCACTTCTCTTCAGTCCTCATCTAGGTCACACTTTATTTGGATTGTCTGGATAGTCCTGTAGATGCTCTACAGATGGTCACACTTTATTTGGATTGTCTGGATAGTCATGTAGATGCTCTACAGATGGTCACACTTTATTTGGATTGTCTGGATAGTCATGTAGATGCTCTACAGATGGTCACTGTCACGATCGTCGCAAGAAGCGGACCAAGGCGTAGCGTGATATGCGTACATCTTTTAATGAGTACTATACATGAACAACAAAACAACAAAACGATACGTGAAGTCCTAGGTTAAACACCAAAAACAAACCTTACGGAACAAGATCCCACAAACAACAGTGCCAAACAAGCTGCCTAAGTATGGTCCCCAATCAGAGACAACGAGCCACAGCTGTCTCTGATTGGGAACCACCCTGGCCAACATAGAAATAAACGATCTAGAAAGAAACACACAGAAAACACAACATAGACACTACACACCCTGGCTCAACATTTAAGAGTCCCCAGAGCCAGGGCGTGACAGTCACAGATCTGTCGATAAGCAACTGCTTGCTAATGTTACAGTTAAGGTTGTGGTAAGTTAGGAACAAGGGTTAGGTTTAGAATAAGGGTTAGGGTTAAGGTTGAGGTTAGGGTTAATGGATAGTTAGTTGAAATGTTACAGCATCTACAGATGGACTATCCAAATAAAGTGTTACCTATCTTTGTCCTCTAAGACTGGCTGAATATCTCTGACATCTTTTAACACCAGCATTGTGTTTCTGTTGTCACCGTACAGCCGGTCCCCATGTTCTCTGTGACGCCCAGCCTTGCCTCCAATGCCAGTGCTGCTGCGGCGGCAGTTGCGTTTAACCCCTACTTGGGCCCGGTGTCACCCGGCCTGATGCCCGCTGAGATCGTGTCCAGCGCCCCGGTCCTGGTGACCAGTAACCCCAACGTCCCAATGCCCTCCACTGCTGCTGCCGGCGTACAGAAACTCATGAGGACAGACAGACTGGAGGTGAGTTGTACAAATAAATACACAGAAACTCTGACTCAACCTGCTGCTCTTCTCTGCACCCTAGCAGTGGATTTATCAAAACACAACTCTTGATTTATCAAAACACTACTCTTGATTTATCAAAACACAACTCTTGATTTATCAAAACACACTCGCATGGTTTCCCAAGTCTACAGTCCCTGTTGCACAGTGCAAGGATGGCAACTAGTAGTCAATGAGGACTGAATATATTTCACTGCTTTCACCAAAGTAGATTTTCTGTTGTGGCTTGTGTCTCTTACATTATTAAAGGGTAGAGTTGAAAAGTGTTGCTTAAACAGTTGCTGCTTGTACGGTTAAATGATGTATCTAATACACAGCAGTCTGTTACACTAACTAAACCCTTGTTTCCATAATATAGTCATGATGTATCAAATCAAATCAAATCTCATTTTATTGGTCACATGCGCCGAATACAACAGGTGTAGACATTACAGTGAAATGCTTACTTACAAGCCCTTAACCAACAATGCAGTTTTAAGAAAGAATAACAAACAAAATCACACAAAAAATACAATAAAAAATAAATACAAATAAAAGTAACAAATAATGAAAGAGCAGCAGTAAAATAACAGTAGAGAGGCTATATACAAGGGGTATCGGTACCGAGACAATGTGAGGTGGAACAGGTTAGTCGAGGTAATTAAGGTAATATGAAGTGTTATTAAAGTGACTATGCATAGATAATAAACAGAGATCTCAGCAGCGTAAAAGGGGGGGGGGGGGGGGGGGGGGCAATGCAAATAGTCTGGGTAGCCATTTGATTAGATGTTCAGGAGTCTAATGGCTTGGGGGTAGAACCTGTTTAGAAGCCTCTTGGACCTAGACTTGGCGCTCCGGTACCGCTTGCCGTGCGGGTGGCTGGAGTCTTTGACAATTTTTAGGGCCTTCCTCTGACACCGCCTGGTATAGAGGTCCTGGATGGCAGGAAGCTTGGCCCCAGTGATGTACTGGGTCGTACGCACTACCCTCTGTAGTGCCTTGTGGTCGGAGGCCCAGCAGTTGTCAAACCAGGCAGTGATGCAACCAGTTAGGATGCTCTCGATGGTGCAGCTGTAGAACATTTTGAGAATCTGAGGACACATGCCAAATCTTTTCAGTCTCCTTAGGGGGAATAGGTTTTGTCATGCCCTCTTCACGACTGTCTTGGTGTGCTTGGACCATGATAGTTTGTTGGTGATGTGGACACCAAGGAACTTGAAGCTCTCAACCTGTAACACTACAGCCCCGTCAATGAGAATAGGGGCGTGCTCGGTCCTCTTCTTTTTCCTGTATTCCACAATCATCTCCTTTGTCTTGATCATGTTGAACGAGAGCTTGTTGTCCTGGCACCACACGGCCAGGACTCTGACCTCCTCCCTATAGGCTGTCTCGTCGTTGTCTGTGATCAGGCCTACCACTGTTGTGTCGTCGGCAAACTTAATGATGGTGATGGAGTCGTGCCTGGCCATGCAGTCTAGAGTGAACAGGGAGTACAGGAGGGGACTGAGCACGCACCCCTGAGGGGCCACCGTGTTGAGGATCAGCGTGGCGGATGTGTTGTTACCTACCCTTACCACCTGGGGGCGGCCGTCAGGAAGTCCAGGATCCAGTTGCAGAGGGAGGTTTTTAGTCCCAAGGTCCTTAGCTTAGTGATGAGCTTTGAGGGCACTACGGTGTTGAACGCTGAGATGTAGTCAATGAACAGCATTCTCACATAGGTGTTCCTTTTGTCCAGGTGTGAAAGGGCAGCAATAGAGATTGCATCATCTGTGGATCTGTTGGGGCGGTATGCAAATTGGAGTGGGTCCCTCTACTGCCATATATGGAGTCCTGCGTGTTAAGTTCTAGCTCTTCACCCGAACGGCTTTGACTGGAAGACGGCAGGAAGCGTGTGTGTGGAAGGCGCATGTGAGTTGAGTCTGCGTCTGGATCTATGTGCTGCATACGTGTGTGTCTGGCTTTTTGGAGAGGCGAATGCGCATGTCCTGTTGGTGTGGGTGGGTGGTATGTGTGGCCGTAGAGGATAAGAGGAGACTGTTTGTTTTTGTCTGACTCAGTAGGAGAGACATGCAGTACTACAGTCTGTAGAGGAGAGGATGGAAGCCTATAGACAGACACACGTAGCATTGCTACTAGCGTTAGCGCAATGACACGCTAGCTGTTCCCATAGACTTCCAGTTATTGAGCCAACAACTGTCCATTTAAAGACAGTTCTTGGTAGGAATATATATAAATATATAATTTATTTTTAAATAAAATTACATATTTTGCATCGGTGGCAATAATTTAGGAGTGGTGGGCCACTGCTGCTAAATGAATATAGGGGAAACACTGGCTGGCGCAGAGGGAGGGAGGGGACAGAGAGGCATCAAACTGTTCACTAAACAAATCACAGTCCTGATTTCATTTAGCTTCACTTTGTAACGCCAGGGTAGTGGGTTCGATCCCCGGGACCACCCATACACAAAAAATGAATGCACGCATGACTGTAAGTCGCTTTGGACAAAAGTGTCTGCTAAATGGCATATTATATTATTATATTATTATTATTATTATTATTCGGATTCAATTCAGTCTCCACTTTATGACCCAAGTCTATGGCTGTGTCTCAAATACAGTAGTGCACTATGTAGGAAATAGGGTGCAATTTGGGATGCAAACTAAATCTCTGCAAATTGCTGCCACGTTGTGTATGTAAATGACTGGAGCCTGGGTGTGGGTGTTTGTGAGAGTGAATGTTTGTTTGGCAGGAGGAGGAGGAGGAGGAGGAGGAGGAGGAGGAGGAGGGGTGTGTTTGGTGTGGTAACTGTCTAAACAACAGATGGGACTGCCTGATAGGATGACTTGGTGTGTGTGTCAGTCCAGGTGTGACAGTCGTGTGTAGATGGTGTGTAGTGGTCCCCTGTAGCTCAGTTGGTAGAGGATGGCGCTTGCAACGCCAGGGTTGTGGGTTCGTTTCCCACGGGGGGCCAGTATGAAAAATGTATGCACTCACTAACTGTAAGTCGCTCTGGATAAGAGTGTCTGCTAAATGACTAAAATGTAAATGTACATTTCTGGGATAATGGTGTTGATGTGAGCCATGACCAGCCTTTCAAAGCACTTCATGGCTACAGTCATGAGTGCTACGGGTCGGTAGTCATTTAGGCAGGTTACCTTAGTGTTCTTGGGCACAGGGACTATGGTGGTCTGCTTGAAACATGTTGGTATTACAGACTCAAACAGGGAGAGGTTGAAAATGTCAGTGAAGACACTTGCCAGTTGGTCAGCGCATGCT